CTAACATAGACTCTCCGTGCGTGCAACCAGGGACTCGGTTAGTTCAACCTAGAGTACGGCATTAGTACAGCAGCACTTGTTGGGCCGCAATGCTTACTTCAAAGAGCTCTGGTACGTCTTTGAAAGACGCGTCCGCCATGCTCGACGAGGACGGCCAGAGAGAGTGATCCTGGGGCTCGGAAGTGACGGTGGGCGCAGTCAGATACCGACGTGTACGCGACGGGCCTCGATATTACTCCGGGCGCGTATTCTAGACCAGTTACACAGCATCCTTCAATCCGAATACTTACTTGTCGTTATGATACTTACCTCCGGGTTTATGGGGCTTATTAGGTCTTTAACAGCATTCATCATTCTACGGTCCGCATTCATTTTGACCGCTCCCTGGGCAGCGCAGTAATCCTCTTGAGACTCTACCACTATCGAGTCTCTCAGACTATCCTGTTATGCCCACTTTGCTCTCATCATGGCCGCGCGCATAATACGAAGCTCTCATGGTCTCGGCATAAGTCTTCGTCATGAGATCCAACAAATTGTCCGAACCCATGCTCTCGGAAGTTCTCGCTCCGGCCACCAGCGCATCCCAATACCGTCTTCCATCACCAATTTGTTTGTATCTTGAGAAGCAGATTCATGCGGACGTCCTCGGAAGGGTCAGAGACAGGGAGAAGAGGTAGTGCTGGTCAGTATTTAAGTTCGAACGAGTGCCTAGCCAAGTCAACAGCCTGGTCGAGTCATTGCGCCTTAGGGAAGCATTTATACCCCGGTGAGATCCTCGGCCATCCTCACCTCGACCATGTCTCTCGCCTCCACCCCTACATCCCTCTCTGCTCCTTCTTCTCGTTCTTCCTCACTGTCCATGATGAGTGCTCCCTGCACTCCCCCGAACATGCACCAAAACACCATTGACCCGGCTGCTAAATGGCTGGTACAAAAGTACGGCGGAACCAGTGTGGGGAAGTTCGCCGCCAAAATTGCGGAAGACATTATACCGTTCGTACATCCCAACTCTGCTGTCACTGTTGTACGCACCCAACCTTACCTCGAACAACAGAGAGTACTTGGATCAACACAAGGTCGCTATCGTTTGTTCCGCGCGCTCAGGGTCTACGAAGGCCCTTGGCACTACAAACCTCCTCCTGAAGGCAGCCTCAGAAGCTTTACAGCGCACAAATGGGCCCTCTGAGACCCCAGGCACGATGTCCCCAGCCGGCACCTTTGCACGGCTCTCTCAATACCAGTCCCCCTTCGCTAGCCCGGGGAAGGGATCGCCCAAGTCTGATACCCCCGGCTCCTCATTAGCCATGTCTCCTATAAACGCTGCAGTACCCGCATTCAGCAGCACCGTAGATGTCATTCGGTCAGAGCATGTCAACGCCGCGCGTGCTACCATCCGTAATCCTGAGATCCTGAAGGAACTAGAGAGCGAGATAGATCGAGACTGCGAGGCCCTCAGGTCCTTCCTCTTCGCCACACAGGTGAGTCCCGAATGTGCGGCGGGTCCGGATCCTTGTATTGACAGCTTCGCAGGTCATCGACGAGATTTCGCCAAGGTCAAGAGATAGTATCATTGGGTTCGGCGAGAGGCTCGGTTGCAAGCTCATTACAGCAATCCTTCGGGACAGGGTATGTTTTCCATTCAAGAGATGGTCAGTATATAGCTCATACGGAAGCGCCCAGAATATCGACGCTGAGTTCGTAAGCCTGGAAAATGTGGTGCCGCTCTCTGAGAGCGAGAACTTCTCGGATTCGGAAACTCTGGGCCAAGACTTTTATGACAGAGTCGCGGAGGTAGTCGCGGAGCGAATCAAGCAGTGCGGGAACCGCGTGCCTGTGGTGACTGGTGAGCTCCCACAAATCCTGACGTACGCCATCCGTGTTCTCATCACACCCTCAGGCTTCTTTGGCCCTGTCCCTGGCTCTCTTCTCAGACAAGTGGGTCGTGGTTATACCGACCTCCTTGCTGCACTGCTCGCCGCTGGCCTGGGGGCCTCTGAGCTGCAGATATGGAAGGAGGTCGATGGCATTTTCACCGCGGATCCTCGGAAGGTGCCCACTGCAAGGTTGATCCCGATCATCTCTCCAGAAGAAGCGGCCGAGCTCACGTACTATGGGAGCGAAGTCGTCCACCCATTCACTATGGACCAAGTAAGTTACCAGAAGTGACTTCCGCTTCGCCAGGCACTCATGGGGTTTGTAGGTCATCCGACGTAAAATCCCCATCCGCATCAAAAATGTTGAGAACCCCAAGGGTGGCGGCACTGTCATCCATCCAGACCCAGACCTTGACCCTTGCGTCGTGCCTAACGGCGCGGACTCGCCGTACCCTCCTGTCATCCCGACGACCTCTTCTGCGAAGTCGTTCGTGCCATTCTCCTCGCCATTGACCGACAAGCACAGCCATGTACGGCAACCGACAGCAGTCACGATCAAAGAGCACATTATCGTTCTCAACGTCAACTCGAATAGAAAGAACGTCTCGCACGGTTTCCTCGCTACGATCTTCGGCACATTAGACCGCTACGGTGTTGTGGTTGACCTCATCAGTACCAGTGAGGTCTACGTCAGTATGGCGATTGAAGAGAACCTTGACAAGAAGGTACTCGACCGCGTTGTACGCGAGCTGAGGAAGAGCGGTACCGTAAGTGCTTGTCAACCATCCCTCGCAGAAGTCACTGGCTGAGCGCTTTGAAGGTCACTGTAAGCCGCGACATGGCCATCCTCTCACTAGTCGGGAAGTCGATGCGCAACATGATCGGAATCTCAGGGCGCATGTTCACTACACTGGGGCAGGGTAACGTGAACATCGAGATGATCAGTCAGGGCGCGAATGAGATCAATATCTCCTGCGTTATTGACGGGCGAGACGCGGTCAAGGCGCTCAACCTCATTCACCAGAGCTGTCTACAGATAAAGCCCGAGGGCGAAAGAGGGAGAGGTACGTGCCTGAAGTCGTAGCGGCGTCTGACAGGAACGAACCCTGATGGCCCTTCTCCTCGACAGTGGGCCCATGGCTCTTTTGACGCAGGGCAAACGCCGCACGACCCCACGCTGTACATTTACACCTGCTCTAGACCTAGAGGACGTATTCGGAAGAAGTCACAATCGGATTGTATTTTGTCTCCCCATGGCACTTTGCGTGAACGCCCGAGCATCCCAGGTGATGCACCCTGGACGACCCACCTGCTGGATATGTCTTCTGTCATATCGCTGGCGCATGTCAGATAACGCCTCGTTTTCTGTTCTCTATGCTCGCAGCCATCTGCAAGGCGCACGGCACGTAACTTTGCCGTTCGGCTGTCCGCAATAAGATCCGCTACAGCTTCAAAAAGCTATCAAGTGGTACTCTGCGCATCAAACAGGCGCACTATCAGACTGGTTTCGAGCGTTCAATGCGGTCTTCCTTTTGTTCCTGCAGGGTCGACACGCAGGCGCGTCCACCTTCCGTCCACTATCGATCGCCTCACGATTTGGTGGAAATGCTGATATGTCCGCTGCAGAAGTACGTGTATATGGATATCATGAACACGACTTCGTACGCATACCTGCAATCGCGCCGCATGTTACCACATGCTCGCCTCTCACGAGTCGCAAATGACAATGTCCGAAGGCACGCGCGGATGCCCACCGCGTAATATGCCCCGCATGCCCTCATACTCGCGCCTCGCGCCGCACGCCGTGTAACACACGAGCGCGAGAAGCACAGCACCGGCACGGGTCCGGATGACGAGCGGTGAAGAGCCACGAGGCCCCCGCAGGCTGCCCGCAGGTACGTACGTGTGTCTTCCTGCCCCCCACAGCCTAAGCCTTCTCATGAGGCACGCCGTGCCTGTGCCTTGCGAGCGCAAGGTTACCGGGGGGAGCTCGGCTTTCCTGTCGTGTGCTGAGGTCTGTTGAGGCCGGCGGACTGCCCGTTGCTTTGGTTTTGTGCGGTGCACTTGATCAGGGGCAGTGGGCGTCGCTGGGACGACATGCCATATCTCACCGGCCTCTTGTCTAGCCCGTCATACAGCCGTACCTTGAGCGGGAAGATCTCCACCTGGTACATCTGGGAATGTGTACATAGAGGTAGTACGCGCCTATGAGAACCATTAGTAGACCGACTATTAGTTCGCTGAGCGAGCTCACCATCACAAGCTACGCCCGAAATATGGTACTATACACGGCGGGCGCATCTCAGTGGGAGACTCAACTTGAAGGACTACCTTTTTGTGAGGAGAAGTGTGTATTTCTATTATATCACGGCGGGCATTGGCGCACATGTTCCGATAACATACTATTTGGGATATGGTCGATCCGGGAGCTGACCTATGTAATCGCTATAGTCCGAATATGTGCCCGACTTTTGTGAAGCCTTTGTAGCGACTATGACACGACACGACTATTGTACGGTCCTGTAGGCAAACTATTGCTTTGTCTCATAGTGACATGATGGCCGCATTGAGACTTAACTGCAAAGCAGCTATTGACTGATCATTACTGCTAATATCAAACGAATAGTCTTCTGAATCGACTGTGTCATGGTTTATGAGATTAGCAGCAATGATCAGTCAATAGCTGCTTTGCAGTTAAGTCTCAATGCGGCCATCATGTCACTATGAGACAAAGCAATAGTTTGCCTACAGGACCGTACAATAGTCGTGTCGTGTCATAGTCGCTACAAAGGCTTCACAAAATTCGGGCACATATTCGGACTATAGCGATTACATAGGTCAGCTCCCGGATCGACCATATCCCAAATAGTATGTTATCGGAACATGTGCGCCAATGCCCGCCGTGATATAATAGAAATACACACTTCTCCTCACAAAAAGGTAGTCCTTCAAGTTGAGTCTCCCACTGAGATGCGCGGATTGGCCCGCACTGTTGATGGGCGCTTATATGTCACATTCTTCCTATCGCTCAACAAAAAACTTGCCTCGTCTTCCTACCTTGCTCTCTCATTTTCCGGACGTTTTAGAGGCATACCAGGGGCCCAAGGACCCAAAAAGGAAAAGGAATGACCACCGCAGGACTCGAACCTGCAACCTTTTGGTGCCCACCGTACAGGAATGTAGCCGTCGGCGATCGAAGCCAAACGCGCTACCATTGCGCCAGGTAGCCATATCTACAGAGGGTCATACATAGCATATATCTTGTTCGCGTAGAGTTCCTCCGACAAGCCTCCAGGTCCGCCTTGTAGTGACATCCTCGAGCTGCAAGGCATGTAAGTAAGATCATGGCACGATATGCAGGCGACGAGTGTCTACAATCAAGGGATTTCCTGGTGACAGAAGAGAGTGGATGGCTGCAAGTGGGTCCTCATGGTATAGGCATTGGTCTCATGTTCGATGGTAGCGCCCTCGAGGCGATAGAATGGCCATGAGCAGCTTGCCAGATTCCCAGGATGCTTCGGTGCCTGGCAGACAGGCACGGTTCTCGCGAGATTGCTTACGGAGGATAAACTTCAATAACAAAGTGCTGGGATCCATCTAGAAGCCCAGGAGCCAAGAAGGCGTGTATGGCGAATGCCTGACCCTGTAAACGACACACTCACATGCTATCCCGCGCGCTCTGCAATCAGGGCGATCAACGGACGGTCGAACGTAGGTTGCGAGTGTGTCCGTAACAATACGACTCCTGGCGGTGCAGTCCGGACCCCGAGAGTGATCGACTCTTCCGAATCCGCTCTCCGACGCGGGCGATAGTAGCGAGGAGGATACGGGCGATGCTGGTGTTGCGCGGCGAGGAGATGGGCGGAGAGAGAAAGCCACTGCGGCGTGGTGATCGCGGTAGGATGGAGAGAGGCAACTTATTGCAATCCCGGGCGAGCCGGAGTCGGAACAGGAAGAGTGCGAGGAGACGGGCGTCTACGCGGAGGTATAGGACGGTAGACGCCTGTGAAAGCCGAAGACCTGCACTCAGCGTCCATGTCTGTCACCATTTCGCTCTCCGCATCTGTTCCTCTTTAGATTCGCTCGTCTGCATCCCATCAACCCTCGCTCTCTCTCGTCTATGACCATCATGCCCGTCTCCAGAGAGCCCGTCGACCGCGACCCTCTCTCCGCCGCCCTCAGACCGCCCATAGACGAGACCGAGGAGGAGAAGGCTCACCGTCTTGCGGACGAGGAAGCCGCGAAGCGCGTCAGTCTCGCCATAGACGAAGCCATCAAACTCGAGGACAAGCAGCGCAAGAAACGCAAGCTTGTCAGGCTTCTCCTCCTGGGCCAGAGCGAGTCAGGTCCGTTCATCCATTCATATGTCTCGGAAAGCCGTACTCACTCATGCATGCAACAGGGAAGTCTACCACATTACGCCGTAAGTCTCCAGCCTTTGCTCCCGCACGCGTCCTAGCATACAGCGGCAAAAGTACGGCAGCGCCTTCATGATCTGCGCTTCGAGCCTTTGTGGAAGTCGATACAGAAGTTCTTCTGCCATATAACTGTACCTTGCCGGCACGCCTTGCCCCTGCTCGGCTATCTATGCTCTCCACCTCCGCTACATGCCCGCTGCGACTTTGCGCCGCGTCGTTGCGTATCTCGCGTCATTTTAAAGTTCTTCGCTAACACAGATGTCCAGAATTCCAGAGGCTATATACCCCAAACGCTTTTCGGGAGGAGCGTATCCTGTGGCGCGCGGTTATCCAGCTGAATATCGTTCGCTCGATCCACATCATATTGGACGCGTTGAATGACATCCGACGGCGAGATGTCTATCCTTCTTCCACATATACCTCCGATCCAGATTCAGACTCGGAATCGGAGAACCATGTATCACTGCCCTACCACCTGGAGGAGCTCCGCAGGCGTCTGTACCCTCTGCGTCATGTGGAATCGCTCCTGATTGCGAAACTTGTGCCGCCAAACGAACACGAAGCCACAACGCTAGGTGTTGGCGGGAGCAATAGTGTTAACGGCAACGTGCCGTATTATGGCAACGCTTACCCGCCTCCCTCCCATGCTTTCCACCACCAGGAGGTGTTCGTCCGACCTGGTGCGGCGTGGAAACTGCGAACGTCCGGAAGGCCTCAGTCTGCTGGGACAACCGGCCAAGAGACGATCGACGAATCCCAGACAGTCCTTCACCATTGCTGTCCGGACATGATCGCTCTGTGGCAAGACCACGTCGTTCGGCAGATACTGCGGCGCCGAAAGATCAGGCTCGAAGAAAGTCCAGGCTTGTAAGTAATATTGTTCTTGTCTCTTCGACTGATTGTGACCTCATATGTAGTTACCTGAACGATCTGAATCGAGTTACGTCTCTGGCATACTTTCCTTCGGATGGTGCGTCCTGCTTCTACCCTTTCCTTCTCAGTGTTTTTCATCAAACGTACTAGACGATGTACTCAGAGCCCGATTGAAGACAGTGGGCGTATCAGAGTACAGCTTCCACATGGAGGCCGGTCCGGAAACTGGTACAGAGTGGCGTATCATTGACGTTGGCGGATCGCGGTCACAGGTCAGGACGTCATTCTGTCTCATGAAAGGCACCCTACTGACAGGTTATGTATTAGCGACGTGAGTCAACACTGCCTAGTACTCTGTAAGGGTTCTTGCTGACGTTGTGTCCGACTTCAGCGACGTGGGTCCCCTTCTTTGATGATGGTACGTTCAAGTCATCTTTGGCGTCGACAACGCTAACTGTGACTGAACGCTAACATTGCAGTCAATGGCAAGAACTGTTATGGACTTGTTCGTAGGCGCTCTCTAACATATTCCCTGCATAGCTATCATCTTCCTTGCGCCGATCTCTGCATTCGATCAAACTCTAGTGGAGGACCGGAGTATAAATCGCCTGGTACGAGTGATCGCTCGCACCCTCAGGTCGTATGTCGATCGATTGTACCGACAATACCCGTTTTGCAGGAGGATAGCGTTCTCCTTTGGAAAGAGGTCTGTTCCAACAAACTTCTGGCGAAGGTCGACCTGGTCCTCTTCCTGAACAAGTGCGACATACTGGCATCGAAGCTCAAATCCGGCATTCGTCTAGCGAAGTACGTGCGAAGTTTCGGCGATCGCCCAAACGAGCCCGAAGTTGCAGAGAAGTGTAGGTGCATGTTACCACGCATATATGTTCGGAGTCATTGACCGCGCGCCACATGTAGACTTCAAGAGTAAATTCAGCGCTATACACAGAGAACACTCACCGATACCCCGCAAGTTCTACGGCTTCTGTACATCTGTCACGGTCTGTACGGCCGGCTCGATTGTATGCGGTCAGAGACTCACGCCGAGATATTCAGGATACTACCACCACTGGAGGCATCATCGCAAGTGGTGAGTATCAAGAATGACTACCTCAGTGCTTTACTAAGGCCATCAATGGGTTCTAGTAAAAGACATGGTCGTCCGGGAACACTTGCGCGCGTCAAAACTGCTGTGAAATGCCCCGATCGTGCCGTCCCATCATGCAGCCGCTCATCTCTCCTATCCCGCTTGGACAAGTATTGCTCTCTACGACACCATCCAAAACCTGCTCATCCTCATCATGCCTTTGTCTCGCCATGCCTTGTCCATGGGTTACTTCCCGCAGCTTCCCACCTCCGACGTCGACACCAAGTCGATCTCACACTGTTCCCGACCTTGCAAATATGCTTCCGGGCTAATGCGCTCCGCCGGCCAATGCTTGCTCGGTATGACGTCCTCACCTACCTCATCGCACAACTATGATTTACCGCAGAGCCGTCTCCTCTAGCATATTCATTACTCGAGTATCTCGCGCATCTAGCATCCTCACGCTCCCATCTAGACGTCTCGTCTCACGCTCGTTCCGCACATCTACGATCTTTTATACCAGTCTTGCTTAGCGGCGCACGTTCATCTCCATCGCTATGTACCATCCGCTATACCTCTTTTCCTTCCGCTTCTGTGAACACTTTTCCATATACCGTTACGGGCACGCAGGAATGATATGTTGTATGTATTGCTACCCACTGACTCATGCCCGCAAGCAAGTCTATCAGCAGGCTTCGAAGGTCCAAGGTGAGTCCTACAGCCAGTTTCTCCTGCTTATCTATCGTTTTTGTCGCCGCTGCGGATACCCTTGTCGTCCGTCCACTTATGGGTCGCTGTGGTACTGTGCGTCATGTCGAAGCGCGTCGACGCGCAGCGCCACTGCGCTCTTCTCCTGTTCTCTGACAGATCCGATAGCCCGGGGGTTGCCAATTAGAGCGCACCCATGCAATGCGGACGTACACACCTGCCTACCTGTGCCTTGTTCGTCACCAGCCGCCCGACGAGATCGTGTTTCGTCGCGCGCCTGCACGAGGCTGACTTGGCGGTCCGTGTGCCTTCCTGCGTTCGCACAATCTCACACGCCGACGACGTGTGCGGAGATTGCGAGGTGCTGCAGCGCTCCTAGCGTTTGGGACGGCGGGGCGGTGAGTGATGATGATCCAGCGGCAACTGCGAGCGCGAGCGCGAGATGACGAGATTTTGGCTTGGAGATGGTCAGATCCCGGTGGCCATCGGGCGCGTCGCTGGGGCGTTGCTCTGGAGGCTTCGAGCTTCATCATCAGTGCGGTGCGGTGCATATCAGGCACTGTGTTACGAGCTCTGACGGTCACCGTGCTGCATTTGCTGTGTGCCACTAGATAGGTTGCTAGTGCAATGGCGTCGCCCGTCTTGGCCTCGAGTGACGCTCACTTAGCTCCGGCGCGAAATGTCGTCGAGGACTCGAGACGTTTGACATACATCATACCGGTGCGAACGCCATCCCGCAGTCCTTACGTCTCCGAGAAATCGGACGTATCTTCACCAACTCGACGCAAGGATTTCGTTGACCCTGCAGTGCTAACGTGAAGAACATACGGAGCCCGTCGTCCAGGCTGTTCACGACTCGTCGCGCCTGCAGCTCAACGGCCTCTGGAAGCGCGAGCCCATATCGCTAAGAGAGCAGAATATCAGTATATGCTGTCATTATACTGCGCGGTGCTGCGACGTCCACCGACAGTCGGGGACACGGCGGAATTTCATTGGCCCTTCCGCTACCTCTGCATAGGTACGCCGAGCTCGCGCGGACGTCTATGCTGTAACTGGGGGATCCGTCTGTCTCCCGTCAACGCAGGGCCGCGGCTGGCGCGGGAGCGTCGGTGGTGGTGGCTGGAAAGTTGCAACCCAGTGTCG